GTTAGGATTCCGGGAATATTGGCATTCCATGATGACACTGTTACAAGTGACCCGGCTATCGATATTTTCTAGGTACCCCCTCCACTTGTCTCATTATTCATTCTTTTCTATAAATGATCATGAACTGTACATTCATAAACTTTTCCTTGGATCACCAAAGGACCTAACAGAGCAGCCCATTGGGCAATACTATTCTTTTTCTTCATAGTGCAGTTAAGACACTTTGCACCTGGGTTCCTTTTTATAGATGGCCCAAAGAATACCTACCTACTGTAGGTATTCTCAAACTTTACTGTACATCAGGATTTTATTACTATATAGAATGTCTTTTGTATGTTTGGAAAATGTACACTTTCTTTTCTTTGAAGTGTTGATGTCCTTCATATTTTTTATTTCAATGATTTTGAGGTATAAATGAATAATTTGAGGGATAATTTATATATCATAAAATTCACCATTGTAAATGTACAATTCAGTTATTTCTAGTAAATTTATGGAATTGTGCAACCATCACCACAAACCAGTTTAGAATGTCTCCATCACTGTGAAATGTTCCCTTGTGCCCTCATGCAGTTAATGTTTGCTTCTACTCCCAGCTCTAAGCAAGGACTGAACTGTCTCTGTGGATTTGCCTTATCTGGATGTCTTATGCAAAAGGTATTTTACGCAAAGGACATTTTATGCAATGGGAGTTATATAATATGTAGCCTTTTGTCTCTGACTTAATAATGTTTTTAAGTATTTTTAATACTCAAAATAATTATGTTTTTTAGTATTTTTTTTTAGGAATAATTGCATCTTAGTTTGCTGTAAGCTTTTGGGTTATTTCCAGGGCACTGAAATGGTTGGTTTTTATAATTTTGTTCAGTTTTATAGTTGCTTTTTTGGGGACAGGATTTGGCGACTTCTTCATTCCACCATGCTGGAGGTCCTAGCCCTTTTTTAAACTTTAGGGAGGAAATGAAAGGCTCCAGGTAAAATCTGGCACTAAAGGTTGACTTCACTTTGGATATACTGTGCTTTGATCATAGCAATTATCATAAGAGACATTTTCTTGAATCATCTTTTCCAATGACTCCTGACATAGGCCATGCAGAGATCTAGAAAATTTAAAGTTTTTGTTCAAGAGTCTTTCGAATACAGGCATTTTCTATTACTTGTTCTTAACCTGGAATCTGCCCAAAGAGCTTTCCTCTCTTCTGAATTCATAGTAACTCCTTATCATTTTTAATTTTCTCAGTGAACAGATATTGAAAGTACAAGTACTAGCTAGCATTTGGGGAGTTCAGTATAAATGTATTATGTCATAAAGGGATCCTTATATCTAGAAAAGTGGAAAACTTTTCATCTTAACCATGGCATTGCTTTTATCATTTTAATCCTGAGTTCTGCCCCCAAGACGGAAGGTATCTACTCAGCAAGGGCATGTGCCATAGAGGACAATGAGCTTTCTTCTTGTACCCCATGATCCTTCACCCATTGGAGAAAGAATCAAGTTTCCCGAGAAGGAGCAATGGAGTTTCAGCCAGTCTGAGCAAGGCTTCTGTAACCATGGCCCAGAAGCCCCCAGACTGGAAATACATACCTACTTCCTGCTACCCCCTCCCCTACCCTGGGTTGCAGACCATATGTATCCCAGAGAATATAGTGCCCGTCTCAGCACATGGCACATAAGAGATATCCCAAAACTCCTGGTTGGGTTGAAATGAAAGGCAGGCATGTATGATGATAGTGATGATGGTGGTGTTCTATGGAGTTGTGATGGGAGAGCTTCTGCTTTTTCCTTTTTAAAGCCAAGGAAGCTGTGCTGAACAGAAAGAAAAGCTGGTTGTTTCTAGCTACGTTTGGTGGAAGAGAGAGAAACCATTCACCTTTTCTTCCAGAGAGGAATATTTTGACAAATGACACAGAAGTTTCTCCCTCACTCCTTGGTTGAGGATGAGCCCTGAGAAAGAATAAAAGAGAGTGGACACCAGGGGCTGCCCTAAAATCTGCACATCAGTGGGACAACCACTGGCCGCAGTCCAAGGTCCAGTAAGTAATTCATCAAGCTGGTGGTCCACTCAGCACCCCTCCATGAATCTTGTTAAGTACTGTATTCACTAACCTGGACCAGTGAAAACCTTAGAAACAAGCGTCATTATTCATTCAGCTCAAGTTCTGAGATGCCAATAGATACAATTTTGCTTTAAGAGAAATATTACCAGAAATCAGAAGTCCTTGGATAAATATCTGTGAAATGAAAGGAGATATTACAGCAAACTATATGTCTAAGCTTATTAATAACAGTCCCTTGGCTGGAATCTGACTCATGTTGTGATGTGTTAAATGTTGGTAATAATTTGTCCTGATTTTGTTGGTCTGAATTAGCTCTTAGGATGGAGTAGCCAATATCAGGTACCCCTGAGCATGTTATTTACACATATGTTTTATTGTTGGTGTTTGAATCCTTAACAATAATGAAAGAAAATAGTAGTAAAGACCTTTTGGCCTATAATCAAGGGCTTTATATCCACAAACATGCCATGGTCAGAGATGAAAATAATAATTTTAACTCCATAATACAAGCCATATATATTTTCCATCCTTTAAAGTGCATATCCTCTGTGTTCTTTTCCTATTTTTCTTTCCTCCTCAGCTTTATCAAGAAGGATGCAAAGAGTGAATCAATTTCATTTACTTGGAGTTCCTGACAAGTATCCCTGCTTCTTGTCCATCCTTTAGCAAATTCAAGTTGAATAGCTAGTGCCTCTTTCTGGTCCTCAGATGATTTTAATAGAGTTCTAGTTCCTTCCAGTTTGAAATTCTGCAAGATAGCAATGTTCTATAGGCCCCCCAAAATATTGTCAGAAAAGCTGGAAGAGTAGAAAAGAAGAGATCTTCTGTAAACCACAAGAATCGATTCTGAGGACCATCTGGATGTTTCCGTCCACTAATAATTGGAGTCAACTTAGCAAGAGTAATCCACTAAAGAAGGCAGAAAAATGAGTCAGCTGCAAGATGTTCACCTTAGTCTAAGAGATATAGTTGTAGCCTTGTGTCAGTGGTGATTATCTCAAAGCCTTGCTAATAAACTCTTTTTTTTCCATTTTGCTCATAGCTCGGTCATGCTTTGCCAGATTCTACCAGGAACGCATAGATAGATGGTCCACACATTATTTCAAGCTGGGGAAATAATTTATTATCTTGAACTAGTAATGGCCTAAAGAAGTTACTGAAACTGTTTTCAGACTATTGTTTTTTTTTTTTAATTTTTATTTTATTTTATTTATTTATTTGACAGAGAGATAGAGAGAACAAGTAGGCAGAGAGGCAGGCAGAGGGAGAGAGAGAAGCAGGCTCCCTGCTGAGCAGGGAGCCCGATGCGGGGCTCGATCCCAGGACCCTGGGATCATGACCTGAGCTGAAGGCAGCCGCTTAACCAACTGAGCCACCCAGGCGCCCCTGGACTATTGTTTGAAATTTAGTATCCATATGTTGAAACTAAAATTGTTATATTTGTGAGATATTGGCAAATTATTAAATGGATAATGCTAAATAACCACACCTAATTAATTCAACTTGAATTGGGTGGAAGGAATATATTCTATACTTATCCAGACATAGCAGAATGCATGTTTCCTTAAGATCAAAATTCAACAAGTAGTGTGATTGTCTTGTAATGGGAGCAATATGCATTGCCTTGGCTAAAGTGAGTATTCAGTTGTAATAATTTCTCTTATTTCTTGGCCAACTTAGATTTTGTTCTATTTAAAGTCTTACTTATATGTGTTTTAATATGACAGTCTATTGCATAGGAAGTAGGTAGGGTATAAAATCATGAAAACAAGAAACCATTTTGAGTACTTATATTATAGGGACCTCTTCGAAGGCATTTACATTTATTATCTTTTAGTCTTCACATTGGATATATGAAGGAAGAAGGTATTATTATTGTTACCCTCACTTTACAGATGAGGAAACTGAGGTCCAATAGGCCAAGTAACTTGCCCAACATCAAACTTAGTAAATGATGGAGGCTGGATTTCAAACTCAGGCAGTATTACTGCAGAGTTGGAGCAGTTAGCCACTGTTGAATTGACTAAAGAAGTAACATGCCTACGGGATATTAACACTTGGATCTCCCAACAATATCCTCTCCTGACTCACCTCCCTGCATCACCCTTCCCCCCGCACACCAAAACAACCACGAAGATGATTTCCATCCCACCAATGGAATGGTGATTCCATCACCATTCTTACAGATATCAGAGTTGAAAACCTTGAATTACTTCCGGCTTCCCCGCTTCTTTTCGCTTTTATCAGCAACACAGACTATCAGAGAGGGTAGGTACCAAGAAACTTGTCCATAAAAAGTTTTGTGTCTTTGAGTTTCTACTGGGGCAAAGAATACCAGTACTAGGTACTGCTCTTTGTTTCTGTTTCACGTGGTCAAAAACAGAGACTTAAGAAATTTTGGAAACGTTCATATTAGAAGCCAGTAGACAGTAATGTTCCAACCAAATGATGAGACAGATTAAGCAATGGTATTTTTATTAGCTTTATTATTTTTTTTAATTAACTTTAAGCTACAGGAAGTATTAAAGAAGAGGGAATATACTTGGCAACAGAATGCGATTAAAGTTCAATATTTATATTTGTTACAGAAGCCTTTATTTGAAATTGATGAAGGCCTTGTGCTGGGGCGAGTCCCTCTGGAGCTATTAATTAGTATTTTACGAAGCAGAGCTGAGAGTCCGACTTGTCTCAGAGAAAACTACAAATCCCAGAATGCACTTCCCCTATCTTTTCGCGAGAATCCCGGAGGGCTAGATCAACCAATCCCGTCATGAGGAGCCTAGCTATCAGCCAATCCGAAGGCGAATGGGCGCCCGAGGGCGGGAGGAGCAAGGCGCCCTAAGATTTGAAATAGGAAAGTCGGCGCGGCTGCGGGACCTGGTTCTGGAGACCCGGTTTTGGCTCGAATTGGTTCAGGTCTTTTGTGGGTAGGTGGCGGGGCTCAGGCCTCCTGGAGAAGGTGAGGGAGGTGGGAACTCACCAGGGCTCCCCGATCCGCCTGTCGCGATAAGGGAAAGTGGGTTTCCGGGCGGGATTTATTTTCGAGAACGAGGTCTGAAATGCACCGCTTGTTGTTTGCACGTCGGGTGGGCGGCGGTGAGGCTGAAAGGTTCCGGGTTTCAGCGAACGAGAGGTCTGTGGCCCTCCTGGGAAGGTTTTATTAGCGGTACAGAAAACTGGTGGAGCCTGCAGTCTTACGGGACACTGTTTTACAGAAGAGGACACCAAGACCCAGAGAGTGCAGGTGACTTGTACCTTTCCTGGACTAAGCCCACTAAATTCCCACTCCAGTCGCCTGTTCAGTGCTACTTTTCCTGATCTTAGTGGGAGGGAGAGACAGGCTAGATGTGGGGTCTTATCCTGTGAGAGGGGGCCATCCATCTGGGACCTGGCAATGCAGGCCAGAATTCAGATGGTCAGAGCTGGAAACGCCTTATAAGTTACCAATTTTACTTGTGAGAAAACGGAGTCAGAATCATTTTCCCAAGGTCATAGAGCTGTGTGAGTGTCTTGTGCAGTTACACTACTGACAAGTCCCTGGGAGGTAAAGATGTCTTTCCTGGAATCTTGCATCTTAACGGTGGTTAAGTCCAGGTGGCTTGATCTGCCCTGGAATATCTAGAGTTAAAAGTAAACTGCTAACTCTTTTCTAGCAAAGGTCACACTGCCAAAATACGCTTGATTGGAATGTGAGCCTGATTTGATTTCAATGACTCATAAGAAATATAATGTTCTATTTGTTCTGTAGCATTTTCTTCCAAAATGATAGAGGACGAACTTGCACTATTTGATAAAAGCATAAACGAATTTTGGAATAAATTCAAAAGCACTGTCAGTGACACTTCCTGTGGGATGGTGGGACTAAGAGATACCTACAAAGACTCCATCAAAGCATGTGGAGGTAACTGAAGTTAACTTGTAACATGCTGTTTTGTTGTTCTTGCTTTTTATGTTATTTCAGCTGAATTGAAACTTCAATTCCAATTTCTCTTTCAGAAAAGCTGTCTGTGAAATTAAAGGAAGAAGAACGAATGGTTGAGATGTTTCTGGAATATCAAAATCGTAGGTGACAAACTGTAGATCACAGAGTTTTTTTAGATTGAACATCTTTAGGCAATCCCTCATACAAATAAAACAATGTATTGTGTGTGTGTATATATACACATACATATAAAACTAATAAACATTTGTGTACCTACAGCCCAGCTTAAGAAATAGAACATCCCATGTATACTTTTCTCTTCTCCCACCTTCCAGAACTAACCTCTTAGTATTTAGTATTGTTTTTTGAATGTTATATAAATGGCATCATTTTGTGTGTATCCTGTCCCTTTTTTTTATTCATCAGTATGCTTGTGAGATTCATCTGTGCTGATGTGTAAATGCCAGTTATTTGAAAAATGAGTTTGTTTTCTCATTGGAAGTCATAGGCTGGGGGTTGAAAAGCTGGAGTTCCTCCGTTCTTTGGGGGTAGGGTTAGTACTCTTGACTGTTTTCTCCATATTTTTCCTGTTATTCTTGCCCTCTCGTTTATACCACTCTGGAGTTTCCACGGTGTATGTGTAGGTTTTATTGAATTCTTACAGATCACAGACTTGTGGCCACAGGCTAAATTTCACGGCACCATGTTTTAAACACTATTAATGGAATGTCTTTAGATGGAACATGTGTCCTTTAATTTGCTACAATCCCCAATAATTTCTTTGGCTTTGTTTTGCCCACTTATTATCTGGCCCCTGAAGGCGTTTGATTTTGGAACCCTGGTAGGCTATAATGCTAGCCTTTTACCCGTATTTACTTTCTGAGCTGCCCTGAAGTTTCCTTGCCCTTTTATTGTTTTCATTTCTTCTGTAACCACAAGCAGAAAGGAAAACCACTTGTGTGTATGTGTGTGTGTGTAAACATTCTTGGTTTGTAGAATTGCTGGGGGTTAGAAACGTAAGTTTGAAACTATCAATTTTTGCTACTATGAGTCTCAGTGTGCTCTTAAAGATGACCCGTAGTGAAAATATGCTCGAAATAGTCTAAAATCTAAAAGCATTATCAGTTGTTTTTCTTTAAAATAACAGTTTATGCTTGAACAGAAATATAATTTACCTAAGTTTAATTAATTCAGTTAAGATTTGACTGATATTTGTCTAGCGTGGAGACAACAGTGCACAAAGTATAATGTCTACATACTGGTTACAATTTAGTGGAATATACAAACAGGGAATCCACAATTAAAATACATGGTAATAATTGCTGTAATAATGGAATGGGCTGAGTGAGCACAGAATTTTTTTCATTTTTAAGGTGTCTACCCTAAAATGAGCATGTTTATTTGCTGCAGGAAAGAAGTCAGTGGAGAAACAGATGTTGAAAAAAGGGTCAGGGGACAATGAGTAGTAGAATAGAGGGGAGGGAATCTGGATTAACCATAGATTGGAGAAGGAGCCACTGGTACTCTGTCAGGAGAGGATACTGATACAGATACATGTGGGGAGTCAGCAAGCTTGAGGGAACTTATTCACTCACCACATGTTTGTTGAGTAGCTACTCTGTGCCAGGTACCCTTCTAGGAAGATACTGCAGAGAACAAATTAGCCAAAAATTCTGGCCCACCTGGAGCATCTGTTCCTTCTATTTATCAAAAGGAGGAAGATCCTCTGTTCAAAGTGAGAGGCATTTACTATGGACCAGGCTCTTAAATCCTGAAATCTTTACAAGACAGAAGTTTGAAACTCACTGAGATTAAGAAACTTAGCTAAGGTCATACATTTGATAGATACAAGGTTTAAGAGTGCAGCCAAAATGTCTGCTCTTTCCAGTGTTAGCATGAAACAACCTTTCCACATGGAAGGAAAATTCGAGGGAGGGTTTGTGTGGTGAGTAGTAGTGAAAGTTTGAAATACCTGCCCTAGAGAATAAAAGAGACAGCTGACTATGTACACGTAAAATAATAGTTATGCAACATCAAGGGCCCTTACATTTGTGTGGGCACAAATCCATACAGTTCATTCTTTCTTCTCTTTTCTTTCTGAAAGGTTCCAGAACCTTTTTTTTTTAAGATTTATTTATTTGTTTATTTGAGAGAGCAGGGGTGGGGGGGGGATGGGCAGAGGGAAAGAATCACAGGCCGACTCTGCGCTGAGCACAGGGCCGATGTGCTTGATCCCACAGCCCTGGGATCACGACTCAAGCCAAAATCAAGAGTTAGACACCCACTGCCTGTGCCACCCAGGTGCCCCCATACGGTTCTTTAAATGTTGTAAGAAAAACACTGACATATATGGTATTTATGTATCATTAATAGTTTAGAAGTTTCCATATTATTATCATTGGAGACTCTAGCCCTATGAAGTAAATACAGGGAGCCGCCATCATTATTCTTGTTTCATAAGCGTCGCCAAAGTTGTAATTTGACCAAGGTCCTTGGGTGACAACTGAGAAACCAGGATGGAACCGAGACCTTTGGACTTTAAATATGCATCTCTTTTGTCATACAACATACTTACCTTTTTTTAAAGTAGCATTTTTCTATAGCAGCCACTCTGGAAAATAGTATGGAGGTTCCTCAGAAAATTAAAAATAGAACTACCATATGATCCCCACTATGGGTGTTTATTAGAGGAAAATGAAAACTAACTCAAAAAGATATCTGCACCCCCGTGTTTATTATTTACAATAGCCAAGTTAAGGAAACAACCTGTGTGTTCATAGATGGATGAGTGGATAAAGTGATTGTGGTGTGTGTGTATATATATATACACGATAGAATAAAGCCATGAAAGTAATGAAATGTTGACATTTGTGACATAGATGGGTCTCGAGGGCATTATGCTAAGTGAAATAAGGCAGAGAGACAAATACTATATGATATGTGTGGAATCTAAAAAAAAAATTTTTTTTTAAACAAGCAAACTCATAGATAACAGATTGGTGGTTGCCAGAGGCAGGGTTTGGGAGAAGAAATGGCTGAACTGTTTTTGGCTTTGGTTTTGGTTTAAATTGAATTTTTTTTTTTAAAGCATTTTTCTTTCTGTTAATTCTGATAAAATGTCTATCTTTAAATTATACTTGACATAATATATGATCATGTCCAAATTCTTGGAAAATACAGAAAAGTAAACAAATTATCTGAAACGTTGAGAATCATATTTAACAAAGTGACGTACTTTTTTTCTTTTTTCTTTTTCATGTGCTATGTAGTATTTTTGACATAATTTTGTTCATGGTGTCTATATAACTTTTTTTTTTAGAGTATTTTTCCATATTGCTAAATTCTTTGAAAAAATATTCTACCTTATGGATCTACTGTATTTAATAATTTACCCATGAGCCATTTAGGATGTTTTCAGTTTTTCACCATTATAAATAATACTGAAAATAATCTTTTGTATATAAGTACTTGCACACATCTTGTTTTCTTAAAGTAACTTGTAGAAATGAAATAACTAATCAAAGGACATGAATATCCTTAAGACTTGTTTTGCAATGTCAAAGATATGCTACAAGAACTCTAGTATTTTGCATTCTTCTCAACTGCTAGCTATTATTTTTGTAAACATTGTTGTACTAAATTAAAATTGGTATGTTATTGCTTTATTTGCATTTCTGTGATTACTACTTGTGTTAAATTGTCTTTCATATTTATTAACCATCTGCAGTCTACATTTCCTCTGTTTATTCTTTTGTCTGTTTTTGTCTTAGGAATTTTATATTTGTGTCTTCTTTAGATTAAGAACAGTCAGGGGAGGGGCACCTGGGTGGCTCAGTTAAGTGGCTGCCTTTGGCTTGGGTCATGATCCTGGAGTCCTGGGATTGAGCCCTGAGTTGGGCTCCCTGCTCAGCAAGGAGCCTGCTTCTCCCTCTCCCTCTGTCTGCTGCTCCCCCTGCTTGTGCTCTCTCTCTCTCTGTCAAATAAATCAATCAATCTTAAAAAAAAAAAAAAAAACAGTTGGGGAGAATATTTAATGCTCAAAAGCATGGTCTTTAAAGTCAAATCCTGAGTTTGAATCCAGGTCTTCTATTTATTGCATCCTAGCAAGTAAAGCTTTGGGCACGTTAGTCATCTGCTGAGCCTTTTTCCTCTTTTAAATTAGATCTACAAAATGTATAATAGTGAAATTTAAGTAAATTTACAGAAGTATAAGGTGTTGAACAAAGTTCCTAGCATATAGTAGAGTTTGCTTATTTGAATCAAATATGAGGTTTTTCGCCTACTTAACTTTTATGTAGCTGGTATATGTTTTTCTCTTTGATTTCTTTTTGCCTTTGAGTAAAAAGATCTTTCCCCATAGAAGTAATTTTATATTCAGATACTGCCTTTTAGGTTTTGTAAGATTTCATTTTATATTTAAATATTTAATAAATATGGAATTTATTTTGGATTTCAGCACGGTTTGGGGAACCATCTACCACTTGTTTTTATATTTCATTTCTCATATTAATTTCCTAAATATACCAATGTTTGTTTGGAAATGCAGTTTTTGTTTTAACTAAACTGTATGTCATTTCTTCAGCTGGTACCCCACTATTGTATTAAAAGTGTCACAATCACAGATGTTAAATTTAATAGGACAAGTCCCTTTCCTCATTATTTTTCTTACTGTATTTCCTTAACTCTTCTCACCTGTGTATTCGTCAGATAAATTTTATAGTTACTTTTTTAGGTCTTCCCTTTCCCTTCCCTCAAATTCCACTGGGACTGCATTAATGTAGAAATGGATTTGGGAAATAGTGACATCTTTATAATATTTAGAAGCATAAAATGTCTTTCCATACATCCAGGTCAAATCAAATACATGTCTCAGACAGGTTTTGCCCTTTTTTTCATATAGGGCCTACATATTTCTTGATCTAGATTATTCCTAGATGTTTTGTTTATTACAAATATAAATGAGGTTTCATCCTTCCTTCCTCTCTGTCTCCCTTCCTCTCTTCCTTCACTTCTTTCTGTTGTTTTTTTTTTTTAGTGTCTTCCAGAATCATTAATACAACATTAGAATGAACCGTTTCTTTAAAGCACTGTGTAAAAACATTGTCCGGATTTTGGTTGTCTTTGATGGTGAGCTTTATTTATGTACTTACTTGAAGAGTAGAGCTGCAGGGTCTTTTATTTTCAAATGCAAATAGAAAAGAATAGGATTTTTTTCTTTTTGTTCTTTATAATTTTTGAACCATTAGGAAGCACTTACCAACTAAAACATTATTGATCTTATGAAAGTCAATTATTTCTTTTTTTTTAAATTTTTTTTTTTTAAGATTTTATTTATTTGCGAGAGAGAGAATGAGAGACAGAGAGCATGAGAGGGAGGAGGGTCAGAGGGAGAAGCAGACTCCCTGCTGAGCAGGGAGCCCGATGTGGGACTCGATCCCGGGACTCCAGGATCATGACCTGAGCTGAAGGCAGTCGCTTAACCAACTGAGCCACCCAGGCGCCCCGAAAGTCAATTATTTCTTATCTGTGATAGATGTTGGAGAGCAAAGTATATATATTCTAGCTAACACTTTGTGTTTCTTACAGAGATCTGTAGGCAGAATAACCTCATTCAAGAAAAAAAAGATAACTTGTTAAGGTTGATTGCTGAAATAAAAGACAAAAAGCAGGAACTGGAAGTACTGACTGCAAATATTCAGGATCTTAAGGAAGAATATGCTAAGAAGAAGGAAAGTAAGTTTCCAGTTATACACATATTTAAAACATTAACCTAAATTTCAAAGTGGTGATGGTTCACAATTCTGTATCTCTTGCCTTCTCTCCAGTTCATTACTAAAAATGGATGACATGCCTCAGGGACATAGCCAGCCACTCAGTTCTGCAAGGAAGCTGTGTGAAGTTAGCTAAGTGGGCTGTATTTTATCTTGTTTTACTTAAAGGTCCTTTTGATTTCTAATATAACCAGAGTGATAATGCAATTGATATGGCAGCTTAATTAAGCAGAGTGGGAGACAGTTTCACTAAATTAGATTTGTCTGGAGAAGCCATAGTATATTTTATGCAACAGAGTTATTGATCACACATTCTCTGCCAGGAACTATTAAGCACATTTTTTATGCTGTGAAGTCTCTTTGTCTAAAAAAATTTCATATTCAAATATGTGTATTTTTTAAAAAAATCATAGCTATTTCTGCTGCTAACAAAGCTAATGAAGAGAGGTTGAAAAGACTACAGAAATCTGCAGACTTATATAAAGATCGACTTGGACTAGAAATTCGAAAAATTTATGGTATGTATATTAATGTAAGTAAAACATACGAGATTAGAAAGGTATATCTTAAGTAGGGAATTTAAAAAATGTTCTCAAAGAAAATAATGACAACATTATTAACTTTTTAGAAAATAGGAAAGAATTTAAACATTTTTATCATCCTAACATAATTACTGCTGTCTTGGTTATTTATCATCCAGTATTTTAATAAATGTATTTTTGGCATGATTGCCACCACGAAAATAATTTTTGTTCCTTGTTCTTACTGGTATTGTATGATTAGCATTTTTCCAGTTGCTATCGCCTTCCTTTGGTAGTTTTAAAATGGTAGTGTAATAATTCATTCCGTTAATGTATCTTAATTTATCCAATCTTTTATCTATCATTTAATACAGGTTTGTTTCTAACTTAACCTTTGGATTCTGCCTGTGGTTCGGTTTTAGAAGTACTATAGTGAATATAGACTTCTCCATTTCTTTTGTATAATTTCCATGGAATTCCCAGAGAGGCATTACTGGGTTAAAGCATGTAAATATTTTAATGGCGTTATGTGTAGTATATGTGCCAATTTATATCAATATTTGTTGTGTTAGCAGTCCCCAAGATCACCGTCAGGTTTGGTGATTCCCTAGAAAGACTTACAGGACTCTGCATATAGTCATATTCATGGCTCAGATTTATTGCAGAGAGGATACAAAACAAAATCAGCCCAAAAAAGGCACTGGGGCAAAGTCTAAAAGAAACACTTTTTCAGACATAATTTTTTAAGAGTCTTAATCCAGCAGAGTCACACAGGATGTGCTTAGTTCCCTTAGCACTGAATGTGACAATACGTGTAAAGTGTTGTCTATCAGGGAAGCTCATCAGAGACTCTTGCAGCTTGTGCTGGTTTTCTCTAGACTTCACCCCATGTGTTTTTCCCTTTGCTGATTTTGCCGTAGCCTTTCTCTCTAATAAATCATAGCCGTGAGTATGACCCTGTGGGGAGTCCTATGATTCCTCCTTGTGACTCTTCAAATCTGGGGTGGTTTGGGGGGCCCCAACACCAGCCAATGACCAACTTGCAAGCAGGCCTTTCTAAAATTCTTAATGATAGCAGCATCAGGCCTGCCATATTAATTCTTTTGTGCACATCTCTCTACAATGTAAAGAGTACCCATTTCATTGTCTTCTTGCAAGAATTGTAGTTTTTTAAGTTTGTTTGTGTTTGGGTTTTTTTTGGTAGTTGACTTGATATAATTGGAGCATTTATTTTTAAGTGCATTTCTTTGATTATTAATGAAAAGGTAAACCTTTTTTCTGTATATTTAATTATATTTCTTTGATTGTCTGGGCTCTTCATTCATATATCTGTGAGTCTTGTTTCTGCCCCACCCCTCCATCTGTTGGAATAAGCTTTTAATAAAAAATAATAACCTTTTGATTAGAGGGAAATACAGGATACAGGGTCCAGCTCTGAATTTTTGATCCATTGGACTTACTGTCATCCTGAGGTGCTTTTGAACCAGAAAGCTTTAGAATTATTTTAGATTTAAAAATAAAACTTTCTCATGGCCCTCAAAAGTCAGGAAATGTTTTTTAAAGAAGACAACCCAAATTAAACCCTTCATTATCTTAGGAAGTCTTTTTTCATTGGCATGTTTCCCTCCCATTTCTATTAACACTTCTAAAAATCTGGTGTACTGGGGGTGCCTGGGTGGCATAGCCAGCTAAGTGACAGACTCTTGGTTTCAGCTCAGGTCATGATCTCAGGGTTGTGAGATCAAACCCAGCGACCTGCGACAGGTGTCGGGCTCCCTGCTCAGCGTGGCATCTGCTCAAGATTCTCTCTCCCTCTGCCCTTCCCCACCCCTCTCATAAATAAATAAATCAATAAATCTTGTTTTTAAAATCTGGTGTACTAATGTAATTATTTCATTTTGATTAAAAATGTAAGACATGTTTTTCAATATTACTTTTTGTAATTAAAACTATTTTTTTTTATTTTAATAAATGTCTATTTTAATGTTTTTCACAATAGAATAAATACTTCTCTTGATGACTGCAGATACGTAAGGCTGTTTGGTGGTATTCAGAACCACCACAATAATGGTGGTCTTCCTGATCGGTGTGTAGTCTTCAGTAATTATAAGGATTTTCGTGTCTGAAACTGCTGTCAAACCAGCAGGACTGCATTTATGCATCCATCATTTTCAGGATTGTTGGTAACCTGGGCATATTTTCCCCAAATAACTTTGCCTTCTTGTGTCACAAGGCCCAACTCACTCAGGTTCACCTCAATTACAGTACCTTTGGTAATAACGCCCAAAGTTGTATATAGTGGGGATGAAGGATTCTTTTTTACAACAAGTATTGGCAGGCAAAAGGTGGCTTTCAATTCAGGGTGAGTTACATGGGCCTTTTTGAAACGTAAGCCCATTGGTCTAATGAATCTTTCATATTTAGGTGGTTTTCGAGTAAAGCTGTCTCCAACAAAGCAGACTTTAGTGACCATCCTCTTCCATGCTTGCTTCTTTCTCTTTTGTGTTCGAATAACTTTTAATACTTCTGTTTCTCCCTGGGCATGAACTTTGGGTAAAGGAACTTCCCATTTTCCTGCTTTCTCTTTTCGTTTTTGTTTAATCATATTGGAAAGTACTTTAGCTCAGGACTGTCCCTCTCTGTCCAGTAGATATACAGGTACTGCTCCTTGTGGAGTCTTTTCATCATTCTTTTTTTTGGTGTTTCTCTTTTCATGCATCTTGATAGTCTTTTTCATTTGTATTGTCTCAGCATGGCACTGTTTATGGTAGAGGTTAGCTTTCAGACCAATCATCTTTTTTGCCTTCTTTGATCGTTCATGAGCCTCTCGACCTTTCTTTTTTTTTTCATGGTAATTCAAACAATAACCATATTGCTTCCGGTGTAACTCAGTGTATTCATTTTGTGGCGTGGTGACGGCCGCAGAGCTGTCGGTTGCAGCTGCTGGAGTACAAAGAAGCTCTCAATTTTCAGGTCTCCCAGACCCGTGAGCTGACTCCACGCAAGCCGCGACCTAATTACAACTATTTTTAAAATGAGATTTCCTAATTTTTTATGCTGTAGAGCAAAATTAAAATGTATGTGAGTTTCTACTTTGTGGCTGCCATTTTTAATTTCTAATGGGCATTTACTCCTTTGGGAGCATTTGGAGGTCTTTTGGAAAATAGGCATTAAGTCTGGATTACTGTGTAGAAAAGGTCAAATTAAATCTGTTTAGTAGTACATTTTTTTATTGTGGTAAAACTATGACCTAGAATTTGCCATTTTAACTATTTTTATCGTACAATTCAGTGACATTAATTACATTGACAATGCAGTGCAATCATCAGCACATTTCCAGAATTATTCATCACTGCAAACAGAAATTATGTACTCATTAAGCAATAACTTCTTATTCCTCCCCCCCAGCCCCTGATAACCTCTAATCTACTTCCTGTCTCTATAATTACCTATTCTAAGTATTTCATATAGGTGGAATCCTAAAGTATTTGTTCTTTTGCATCTGGATTATTTTACTTAGCATGTTTTCAAGGTTCATTCATGTTGTAGCATGTATCGGAAGTTCCTTCCTTTTCATGACCAAATAATATTCCATTGTGTGTATATACCATATTTTGTTTATCTGATCATCTATCAGTGAACACACGGTTATTATCACCTTTTGGCTGCTGTGAGTAATGCTGCTATAAACGTTGGCAAAGTTACAGGAGTCCCTATTCTCAGTTCTTTTGAGTATGTACCTTGGAATAGAGTCACTGGGTCCTATTGTAATTCTTGATTTAAACTTTTTGAGGCACTGCCAAACTTTTCCACAGCTTCAGCACCATCTTGCATTTGTCTTCATCCACACTTTTCTTGTTTTGTTTTGTTTTGTTATAGCTGTCCTGGTAGGTGTGAAATGATATCTCATTGTAGTTTGGTTTGCATTTCCCCAGTGATTAGCGGTGTTGAGCATCTTTCCATGTGCTTATTGACCATTTGTGTCTGTTCTTTGGAGAAATATCTATTCAAGTCCTTTTTGTCCATTTTCAAATTGGGTTGCTTTTCTTTTAGTTGTTCAGTTGTAGTTTTTTAAAATATATCCTATATATTAAATCCATGTCAGAGATATGATTTACAAATATTTTCTCCCATTCTGTGGGTTATCTTTTCACTCTCTTGATAATATCCTTTGAAGGACAAAAGTTTTTATTTTTTGATGAAGTCCAGTGTATCAATTATTTTCTTTTGTTGTGCTTTTTAAAATCATATTTATACGGGCGCCTGGGTGGCTCAGTTGGTTAAGCGACTGCCTTCAGCTCAGGTCATGATCCTGGAGTCCCGGGATCGAGTCCCGCATCGGGCTCCCTGCTCGGCAGGGAGTCTGCTTCTCCCTCTGACCCTCCTCCCTCTCATGCTCTCTGTCTCTCATTCTCTCTGTCTCAAATAAATAAATAAAATCTTTAAAAAAAAAAAATCATATTTATACTACAGTTCATTTAAAACTAATTTGTAACTTGTACATTTGGAGGTTTGGTTAAATATATATATGTATGTATGTATGTATTTAGCATATAGATATTAAGGACAGGTGAGAAAGCTCATCTCCATTGAAACCCTTGGCACGATAAAATATTCTCATACCAAATAATCTAATCTCTCTTTTCAGGTGATAAATTACAGTTTATATTCACTAATATTGACCCTAAGCATCCTGAGAACCCATTTATGTTTTCCCTCCACCTAAATGAAGCCAAGGAGTATGAAGGTATGTATTCCTATCTCTTAACTAGTATTTAAGATTGGCATCCCCAAATGTTATCTGACTCCACATAGAAAGTAATAGGAAGGAAAGTAATTCCCACAAGGTAGTGCTTTCTTTGCCAGTCTTGCTTCATGGGATAGTGTCTTCTAAAGCCTGTGAGTATAGTTGTGATTTGTAGTTATTATGTAGGATCCTAAATATGTCCCTTTTCTTCAGAACGGCACGGTGCCACAGTGGCAGAAAAGTGTTAAAGGCCACAGATCAATGCATTTCATATACAAGTTTGAATTATCCTTTTAGAGAACTTAAAGCTAAAGTTATAAAGGATATAACTATGTAAATATGAATATTATAATTTATGCAAGTAGTTGATTTTAAAAGCAAATGCTAAGTCATCAGAATGTGATCATTTATCTTCCCAAAAATCAATTTAAGAAATATTACTGTCTCCTGAAAAATCCCACACATTGATAATTTAGCTCACTTACTGATTCTCCAGCAGGCCAGAAGGTCATCAATTTATGGGGAATATATATGATTGATAATAGGGGGAACAAGAAGAGAATGGAAATATATTTATTTCTTTTTAATTCTTCTAATGCCCCTTTTAAGGTAATTTTTCATTTATTGGAATTCAGGAAAATGTTTCTCAGCTCATTAGACCTGTGTTCTCATCTTAAAGCATTTATAGCAGATACACACTCAGGAGAGCTGCTGAGTTGGCTCCCTAATGTACTCTGGTGACTCGGTCCTCATTCTCATGGAATTTATATTGTATATTGTATTTATATATTCTCTCAGTAAATTTTTTTTAATGAGTGCTAAATTTTAAAAAGCAAACCCAAAAAACCCACATACCTAGGTTTTTAGTGTTCTCCAAATTGTATATTCTCTCTTGCTACATAGTATCACAGTATTTGATAGTGTATTAAAATAGAATCTACAGTGTGATTTTGAACCAAGTGCTCTTCGCTATTCTTTCTCTTATGGTCATGGTCCTTGTTTCCTAAGCGATCTCAACCAAAGAGCTAGAAGTCTGACATGGTCGAATTTCTTCTCCTTGGACAAAGGACTAAATTGTTGGGAGAGAAACCTGGATCATTCCTTTCCTTTGACCACCCTCACTGGAGACTTGGTCCCAAGATGTACCATTTTGTACAACTACATGTGAGAGCTGTACTGTTTACTTGGGACTTTGTGTCTCATTTGATTAGGAAGCCTTATAATTAGAATACACTTTTAGAATGGCAGTCACATTTTCTAATGAAAACTTATAAAAGTTTAGATTTTTTCCCATAGTTATAAATTATTAAAAGTTGGCTTTGAAAGTTGTTCTCTTTTGATCTAGTGACCAGAAACTAGAAGTCAAGCCAAAGGTTTACAGAGAAAACTGACTTAACTGTTTAAAAAAACAACACACACACCTGTTAAAACAGTTTAGTTAAAACAAAATGTATAGAAAGATGATGGGAAATGGCATTCTGTTCTTTATCACTAAGCTCTTCAATCCCTTGACTACCACCCGTTTACCTTTAAAGTAAGATCGTAGTACTTAAGATTTTAGTATTTAGAGATTAAACAAAGAAGAGGTCCAAAAGATAGTTAGGATATGAAAATCAGTTGTATCTATTGTTCTGTGCTCAAAGCATTTCAATAAAATGGACTTGAAATGATTTGAATTAGATGAAAGCATCTAAATTAGAAACACTTCTCTTCCATAAAAAAATCTCATTCAAATTATCTTCTATTTTTTTTTTTTTCCTTCTAGTGTCAGATAGTGCTCCTCATCTTGAGTGCCTGGCAGAATTTCAAGAGAATGTAAGGAAGACCAACAATTTCTCGGCTTTTCTTGCCAATGTTCGGAAAGCTTTTACTGCTATGGTTTATAATTAATGTATGAATAGTATATAAAAATTGTTCATTTTTCTTCCCTATTGTGTATCTCTCTCTCTTTTTTTTATCATTGTGTATCTCTTTTAAAAAGAATTCTTATTATCCATTGTTTGCCTATATAATTTTTTTGTATTTCTGTAACATTTCTGTGTGGTGTATTTCTTTAAATTATTTTAATTAAAATCTTAAGAAATAAAATTTATAAAGTCAAATGTGTCCTTTCTAAAATGAAAGTGTACTATGTATATATATATATATATGTGTGTGTGTGTTTGTGTGTGTGTATACATATTTTTTAATGGCAGGCATGGGCAGTTTAAGGCTAGCCTGGAAATGGGAATTCGTACAACCAACACTGTGTCTCATTGGTTTCCAAGCTTTTTATTTTTTTTATCTTTTTTTAAGATTTTATTTATTTGCCAGAGAGAGCAAGAGAGTACAAGCAGGGGGAGCCACAGGGAGCCCAATGTGGGGCTTGATCCCAGGACCCTGGGATCGTGACCCAAGCTGAAGGCAGACGCTTAACTGACTGAGCCACCCAGGTGCCCCTCCAAGCTTTTTAAGGTCATGGATTAGTAATAAAAAATTAGGAATGTGGGCCCAACCTAAGGTTAGCAAATTTTGAAATGTACTTGGCAAAAATAAATACTACTATACTATCATTCTAATATCATAAAGGAAAGAAAATTTTTCTCTCACACCAAAAGGAATCTATAGTTAAAATAAAGGGCAAACCTTCACATCAGAAGGTTAGCAGGATTCTACTAAGATACTCAAAAAAGGATACATTTTTGAAAATCCAAAAGTGGAAAATTTACAATCCCTTTCCATTTTATAACATTTATACTGTTTAATTGTCATCTGGATATAAGTTTGCCATCTTGGAATCTTCTTCAACACAGACTAGAGTTAAAATGTCAACTTGTTCTAAGATTCTGTTTTTTGTCACTATCCTTATGAATTCGGTTGTATTAAGTATGCTGTCTATAACGGAAGCCACATAATACTGGTTCAGGATATCTTGGGCACAACTAAAAGCCACAAAACAATGGCCTCCATGCCTCCAGTTCCTTCTGCTACTCCCTGAAGTGAGGTGGAATTTTCCAGCCAGTTATCTAGTTAGAGTAGGAAGAGAGTTTCAGAGCACTTCCCCTCAGTTGCCTCTCATGCCTAGGACTTGGCTCAGAGTTCTGCTCACCATCATATAGCAGTAGAATTTATCGGAAAAGAATGCTATGGGTTGGTGGGAATGTTGTCACTGACCAATCCCGTTGTGCAGACCAGCTTTTAGGAACCATTGATTGATATTCTCCCTGTAGAGATAAAAGGTTAATAAATTGCCCTAGAGATTGGAGTGTGTGCTACCAACATTCTATTTTATATTTTTAATATTAAATAATAGTAAATATTAAACAAAGCACTAATGCACAAGCAATGGCCCAAGTAAGAAATCAAACAGCAAATCCATATATGTCAAAACAAACAAGAAAGAAAACAATATTTGAAAACCTATGGGGTGCAGCAAAAGCAGATGGTAGAGTGAAATTTATGCTATAAATGCTTATATTAAGAAAAAAAGTTGAAATTACATTAAACCCCAAGGAACTAGAAAAAGAAGAAACTTAACAAATTTAGTAGAGAAAGCAAATAATAAAAATCAGAAATAAATAAAATAGAGACCAGAATAAGCAATAATATAACATTGGAAGTAATGACTAGTTTTTCAAAAAAATAAAATTGGCATGCTTTACACTAAGAAAAAAAAGACTTTTCCATCATACAGAAGAAGGCAGAGACTTAGACAAAATGCCAAGATGGAGAAATTTATCCCAAATGAAAGAACAAGATAAGGTCACAGCCAGAGATCTAAGCAAAACAGGCATAAGTAACATGCCTGATGAAGAATTTAAAGCAATAATCATAAGGATACTCACTGGGCTTGAGAAAAGAATAGAAGACATCAGGAGACCTTACCACAGAGATAAAAGACTTTAAAAAAAGAATTAATCTTTTTTTTTTTTTTTTTTTTAAGATTTGGTGTATTTATTTGACAGAGAGAGAGAGAACACAAGCGGGGGGGGGGCAGGAGAGGAGAAGCAGGCTCCCTGCTGAGCAGGGAGCCTGATATGGGGCTCGATCCCAGGACCCTGGAACCATGACCTGAGCCGAAGGCAGACACTTAACCGACGGAGCTACCCAGGTGACCCCTCTCCTCCTTTAATATTTCTTGCAGGGCTGGTTTAGTGGTCATGAACTCCTTTAGTTTTTGTTTGCCTGGGAAACTCTATTTCTGCTTCCATTCTGAATGATAGCCTTGCTGGGTAAAGTATTCTTGGCTGCAGATTTTCCCATTCAGCACTTTGAATATATCATGCCATTCTCTTCCGACTTGCCAAGTTTCTGCTGAGAAATCTCCAGCTAGCCTTATGGGTTTTCCCTTGTAAGTTAAGGACTTCGTTTGTCTTGCTGCTTTTAAGATTTTTTTATCATTATATTTTGAAAATTTAATTAGATTATGTCTAGGTGTTGGCTTGCTTTTGTGATTTTGAAGGGCATTCCCCGTGCCTCCTGGATATGGATATGAAAAGCTAGTTATGTCTCCTGCCCCTGAAAGTAATGGCCTTATGAAGAGGTCATGTAGTGCCCAGGGCCTGGCGCTTCACAGGGTGTCTGCGGTATATGCTGTGTGCACTCAGCTGTCATGTTTTGGCTGCTATCCTTCAGGCCAGTGGTCTGCTTCTTGACTGCTGTGGACAGTGTCTGGTCCCTGGCCTGAATGTGGTGAGTTTTAACTAGGTGTGCTCTAATCTACTTGCAAAATGAGACCTGACACCAACTCCACCAGAATTGAGGCCCAACAGAACTCTCTGGATGGAAGATCTGTTGTGGGCAGGGGTTTGTGTTTGTCTTCTGGCGGCGGGGGGGGGGGGGGGGGGGGGTGGCTGCCTCACTGGGACTGAGACAAGCTTGACTGAAATGGGCAGTCCCACCAGAGCATGGGGTGGGGTGGGTGGCTTGGTGTAAGCAAGTTAGGTAGTCATTGTCCTGGTTGACTTTCCCTCAGATGGCTCTGTGTTTATGTTGAGGAGTGGGGGAGGGATATGACACCAGTCAGTGCCTTTGTTTCTGGAGAAGCATCTGGGGCTTGTGCCTAACAAAGTCCTCTCCTATTTTATCATGGGCATGGCCCAAGATAGTATTTTAACAGTGGCAGTACAATGAGCAAAAAAGTACAGGTTTCCTAAGCAGATCTTCACATTTGGCCTTATTTTTTTTATATAATGACATTTAAATGAATACATAAAATCATATCAAAACTCAATTTTAGTTTTTGTAGATCTAGCTTGATTTGGAGCTCAAATTATATTAGCAGGATCCATTGTTTAGCTGTTTTTTCCAGGTTAAGGACCTCAGCAATGTCAAGCTCATCCTAATCCCTGAACTAATCACTGGTGATTAGGAGGTAAATAAAATACATGTTTTGGATTAGAATAGCTCCTGCCAAAGCCCAGGTGTGGAGGTAGATTAACCTCAATAACAGAGCTAAGAGTAGGGATGTTATAGTTCTCTAAGGGAGAGATTAGATATTTGATATAAAAAATAGATAACTACTACAGTGAATATATATTTACTGAATTCCCTACCGGAAATATATTTACAAGGAAAAAACATCAAACTTAAAGAAAGATCATCATTCACTGAAACTAGAGGAAGACCATGTCTCATACCACAAACTCTTGACGATATAATGTTTTGAACCATGCAGTGAAGACATTGAGCTAGTTGCCTTGGCAAGGAACCCTGAAGGGTTTCTTTCACTTGCAAGTTACAGGAATGAAGATTGGGGATGAGAAAAGAAATGAGTACCTTCCACTTAGGGTCCATTTCTCTTCAAGGACAGCCATGCTTCACTTCTAAGCTGGGGGGTGGGAAGGGCAAGATCTGGAGAACAAGACCAGGTAGCAGGAAAGTCCCAAGATTTACTGCTGGGATCCAAAGACAAAAGCATAAAGAAAAGTGTGCTATCATACCAAACAAAGGGCCTTAAGCCATGAAACTTTATAGTGATATGTTTTCTCAGCTGGAAAATTGATTCATTCTAAAATAAGACTTGGTTAGAGCTGGCCACCTTAGACTAATGATAAGGAATCCAAGGTACTGAGAGTTTAAGGAACTTCAAGTCATACAGCTGGTAAGCATTGGAGCTGGAATTTAAACCCAGGTGGCAGTCTGGCACCTAATCCACGAGATTCACCTGGATGACACCTCATGCTTTTCTGTGCTGTACTGTAGGGAAAGTAAGTGAAGACAATGTTCTTAACAAAGATTCTAGACAAACTTGAACTTCAATAATATAACTTAGCCTTTGTGTTTCTATAGAAGGATAATGAATAAGATAAAGAAAGGTAAACTGTCTTGAAAGCAAAGGAATACGTTTTGTCTGGATCTTTAGGAAATACCTTCACTAAGATGATAAAAAAGCCTCAAATCTCAGGGAAACAACAGCCTTTAGGAGCTGAATGGCTCACTAAGGGCAGTCTCTAGGCCTGAAGACTAGTCATCACCCCGGGTCTTTATCGAAATGTCAGATGGAGGGCTATTGACTTATGTTTAAGTCTTTATCCATTCAAATATAAAGACCTTAATTTTTGAGGGTCACAATGTGCCAACCCAGGAATATTCTGGAATTGATATTATTAACGTATTAGCTTAAATTATAAAGTTGATACATTATGAAAATTTCACTCTGAATAAAAATACACGTGAGAGGCAAACCAACTATTTCATTAAGTTTGCTCTTTTTATGCATTGTATTTAGGATGGTATATTGCAAAACTAAAATAATTTTAACCATTTAAAATCTTCCTGATATGGAAATAAAACACAAGATACAAAGAGAAGAGATTTTCCTAAATGAAAAAATATGTACAAGTATCAAAGTTGATTAAAACAGAATCCAAATGGGTAGACTTATCCACATTTTGTAATAAAATGAACAATAAGATCTTTAAAAATTAAACTCAATCACTAAATTGTTTAAATTAAAAAAAAAAGAATTGGCACAAAATCTGTTAAAATGTTCTAATGGTTTAAAAATTTCAATTTCCCAGTTAAGGAAGATTACAGTGTTGCTTCTCTTCCAACTCAGAAAATTCCTGTACAGAGAGAATTAGTTCTGTGTTGATTTGTGTACCATGACAGTGAATTGCCTATTTTGTGATCACCTAG